ACTGGACATATACACTATCTAAGTACTGTATCTCATAAAGTGAAAGAGGTGTAGCAGTCCGGTTGGTAGATAAAATAGAAGATGCCCAGTTAAATTTGCATTTCAGATAAGCAGTGGTGGAGTTTTTAGTATAACTGTGTTATGGCTTGTGTCTAGATGTACCCCCAAAGCCTCAGGCAGTCATGGGGGAGCTTTTCGAAGGTGACTGGTTCTAGAGTGTGTGGTGCTGGGATCAAGGGTGTGTGATTACTAAGTCAGTTCACTGATTGATTTGGCATAGTTCTGGCTAGGTTTAAGGTTGTGGGTGTGACACCCACCCTAGGGCAGGTAGCCTGCATAAAATATAAGAGACAGAAAGAGGGTTTATGTGCTCTTGCCTGCCTGCTTTCTGTGGACCATTTCTCCTCTGTGATGCCATCTCCTCTACCTTGCCACCCCCCTTGGAGCCAGCCAACTCCAGACTGAAACGTCTACAAACTGTCACACAAATAAATCTTTCCTCCTTTAACTTTGGGTGTCAGATATTTTGTCTCAGCAATGAGAAAAATAAGACAAACTGTCCTAAATATTGCATGGAAAATACTTACAGTAAAAACTTACTCATTTTTCATGAAATTCAAAAGTCCCTGGGCATCCTATATTTGTCAGCTTGCTAAATATAGCAACTCTGAAGGGTAGACATTGGGGAGGCAATAATTACTGAATAGAATCTTGTAGAATTTAAGAGTAGAGATGAGTGGCTAGTGTTTAAAGATAAGTACTTGTGCATGGTGGCTGCTCAATAAACATTGTGGAAGGAAGGGTGATGGTAGATAGTGGGAGTAACACAGTGTGCAGGTACCATCAGTGGTGCCAGGTTCTTGAGGGATCAGAGGAGGAAAAAAGCGAGTATCTACTTGAGAAAATGGTAGTTGAGTGGTATCTTCAAGGTGGCACCTCCCATAAAGGTGAAATAGAGGGGCAGAACAGTGAAAAGCAGCAATGTGAGATTTCAAAGATGGGATAGTGGTCAGGGAAGGAGTTCGGACCAGACCACAGAATGTGTAAAGAAAACTTGGCAAAGGGACATTAGCATACCTCGGGCTATGTTCTTGGTGCTTGCTTATTCGTTGGTTAAGGTGGAGGATAAGGTTATTATTTCTCATTATGATCAGAGATGTGAAGTTTTAAATTTTTATTCATTTGCTGCAAGTCGTGTGCCATATTATCTAGATATAAAAGTGTTACTTTATGAAACTAAAACTTCAAGGGTAACATTTTCAAAAAACAATAATAAAACTGGAATAGTCATTTTAATGGAGAAATATAGTGAACACAGGTGGAGGAAAAGATACTCAATGGGTAAGGCTCTTAGTATCATTAGCATACAAATTTAGTATGCATGGTGACAAGGGTAAATTCCAGTTGTACATTCCTTCACCTAGGCAATGCTGCCTTTGGTCATAGATGCCCTCTAGGTCTGCAGCATTGCAAAACTGGGGAACAAACCCCCGCAATCACTAGATATAAGAGGCTAGGATCTTAGTTCTGGTAGGTGAATTCCAAAAAACAGAATTTAGTGGTTTGAGCAAAATCTAAGATAGGTCCCAACTGAATAACATGAAAACACATTAAACATAACTGGATATGTGGCCACTTTGATCTAAACCACAGGGAAATGCCAGAAAGTTAAAGCTTGTAGAATATACTCCGCAGAGCTTTTTAAAAGGAAGAGAGATGTAAAATATGTCAATGAGGACAAGCTGGAAAGGAGGGACCTGATGCCTGGACACGTGTCCCAGTTGTTTTTATGGGACAGTTAAAGTGATTAAACACCTGAAAATTTAAGGGGAAGATATGGTGTTTTTGTTTTGTTTTCCATCTTGTAACATTATTTTTATTTGTCTACTTCGATGACCTCAGCCGCTTTCCAGTGTGTGCCAAAGACATGGCACCATGCCCATTTCTTTGATATTTCAGAACAAAATTGCTGGTGGAGTTTCTGCCATTTATCATGGAAGGCCATAAACACACAAATCCTAATAAATAAAAATTTTAATCCCCAATGGACAGAGTTGAGAGATCCTTGAAATGTATTATCAAAAGCTCTCATGTGCAGCTGTACATTTCAAATGACACGTTGGTTTTCTGATTAACGTGAGATTGTGATGTTGATTTTCTTGTTAGCAAAATGTTCATGTTTAGTGTCAGACCTTTTTTCTCTTTACAATCCATGGTTGGTCAGGACTCTTTTTCATTATCACGACGAAATTCCTGGCCTCTTCTGAGAACCATCTAGTGAGAAAATCGTGGGCCCAAGATGAGGGAGTGTGGAGGCCTGAGATATACAGCCTCCTGAAAGGGGCAGGTAACTGTGGTGGGCACCATGGGAGGGCAGGGTCGATGCAGATCAAGTGGCCTGCACCGGAAACCTGCCCTCAGAGCAGAGACAGGCTGCTCTTTTGAAACAGTTCATCAGGAATCCCTCTCCTTTTCACGGTGGCTGGCAGCTCTGAATGCCCATTTCTGACCTATTCTGCTTGTGGCGCTTCTTCCTTTCCTTCACTTATATAATTTGTGGCGGTAGTACAGTGAGATACAGTTCAGTGAAAACTATGGCACATAGTGGTATTTAGGTAGAGTCTGAAATCCTAAGTTCAAAATCTTTTTCTATTGTTTGTTAGGGTATGATCCTGGACATAACACTTAAGCACTGTGAGCTTTGATTTTTCTCATTCATAAACTGAATATTTATATTTCATATATTATCTGTCTGTGTGATTATTGTAGATTAAATTAAAAAATCTAAATGAAAGTCTATCCTAGGGCTATGATGATGATTGTCATTATTATTATTTAAAAGCCCAGTGGGTAGATTGGTTCTTCATATCTAGGAAAATACAGAATTCCTATTCGGAGACTTACTGAACAAAACCCAGCAGTAACTTGTTTATTTGAATTTTTATAATGGAATGCAAATGCAAGATAGATAAAATTCTTGGAGAATCTTCTGACTGTTGAGTACATCTTTCATATTTTAAAAATTGTCACAGGGGCTGAGGATTTAGCTCAGTGGTTCCGCCGTCTGCCTCCACAAGCGCAAGGTCCCAAGTTTGATCCCTGGTACAAAAAAAAAAAATTGTCGCAAAGTATTTTAAAGATGTATGTGATTGTTCCTGAAAAATACCTGAAATGCCCGTCCTTTTATAAATGTTTATGTATGTAATTTATTGTACACATCTAATCTTGAATGATTAAATAATTTGCATACTGTTTTCAGTGGCATGAATTAAAGGCTAATCGAAGTGTAATTTTTTGCAGTAAAATTATATCATCTTTTATGTAGTACATTAAAAATATTCTAGGCCAGTTTTAATTTTATAGTTTTATTATTTTAATTTAATGTACCAACTAATTAAAAATTGCTACAAAGAAAAGAAGATGAAAATGATTTGAGTTAATTTCCCCTCAACAGAGTGAAGCGATGATAAGTGGAGAAATAGACCTGAGCCCAATACAGTTCCTGGCACGTAAAGATATTCATTAAATGTTTGTTAATGAATAATTTCTAAGTATTTCTAGACTTTGGGAAGGCACCATTCTCAGTGCTATCTAAAATATGAAGAAGATAGGTTGACATTTTTTTATCAAAAGACCACCATACACAGGTCACACAAGCCACTTGTTATCGAACCAGTAGATCCTCAGCTTGCTCTGCTTCCTTTTTTCTCTTTGCTCTTGTAGTAGGTTCTCAAGCCTAAGTCAGTTACAGATGGTGACAGATCATTTTTCATGGGTATTTTTGTATACCCTGCAAGCAGAGACACCATGTGCTCTTTGGACTGTCTCTTCAAGAATTTTTTGATTTCGTGTGTGTGTGTGTGTGTGTGTGTGTGTTACTAAGGATTGAACCCAGGATCCTCACACTGAGCTGCATTTGTAACTTTTTTTTTTTTTTTTTAAATACTGAGATATTTCTAAGTTGCTTGGGCAAGACTTGAACTTGGGATCTTTTTACCTCAGCCTCCCAGAGTGCTGGGATTACAGGTATGTGCCACTAGGCCTGGGTCAAGGGTGTTCATCTGTGCAAATATCTGTGGAAGACAGATAGGCTCCCTCTAGAGAAAAGTGCAGTTTGTGCATGGCCTGGGAAGGTAGAGATAGTGTCTCTCTCCAGAACAAAGGGATGACATGCTTACTGTCCTGTCTAATAAAGGTGCTCATTGCTCACTATAAAAGGTGTGAGTTCCCTAAAATCAGGGATCCTGTTCTGTTATGTAAACATCATCTATGTAGGTTTTATGTGGCCTTTATTGTGTCTCCCAGTGGAAACTACAGCTTAGGACACTGGTACAAAAAATGCAGTTGTTCTGTTGCTACTCTTACTGCTGTTGAGTAATAAACTGCTCTTTGTCTCTCACCAGAAGTGAAGGGGCATCTTAGGGTTGGAAATGGGAGATGGGAAGAGATCAAGAACTTTTGGCCCAGAGTATCTAATAATCCCTACTCAATGGGGATGGTTGGATGGAGATGGAGAGGCTACAAAAGAAGAAGGAAGAATAAGTTGATAGAGGAAAGAAGATCCTGTGAAGCTTCATACTAGCTTAAAGCTATTCATGTTTATTGAAGCTGTAACTCAGAGTATTGGCACCTACTATACTGAAGCTTATTTCCTTTTTTCTTTGGCTGAGCTAAGATGATACATTTTTATGAGCACTCTTCTTTGTGCGTTTCTGCCTTCTTTGGTTATTCACATTGAGTGCTAGTGGCTGAAAATGAGGCTCTTTTCCTAGGAAAAGACATGATGGCAGTGGGGCATTTTTGGTCACTTAAAAAAGTCTGAACCTCCAAAGTGTCAGCACTCTCTGACACTCTCCCTCAGAGTTTGAATGTACTAATGCCGCTTCCTAGGACAAACCCTTACTCCACTTCCCTGTCATAGGAAAGCATTCAGGCTGTTACTGAGACATTGTGTAACTTCTTGTTAGCTGCATGCAGTTGTATTTTACTTCATGCTACAGGGACTTTTATTCGGCGTCATCGGATTTCTCTCCCCCCTCCAAATGATGATCAGTTTTATACTGTGTGTGATTTCAATATCAACATTGACATCATCTTCTATGGCTGGACATTCAAGATTTATGATTGTGATAAATTCACAAAAAATTTTTTGAGAAAAATAGGAGTCAAATTAAATCCCCCAGGACAGTGTCCACAAGATCCATATTTGAAGATGCGGAAAGAGGTAAGAAATTGTATTTGTGAGTTCTTGTCTTCATAATAAGAATTCCTTTTTCAGCTAGTAAAGGGTGTTAGTATTCTTGATGCAGATGTGAAAGAGCTTTTGGAGCCATAGTTACTCTAGTCCTTTTCTCCCTTTGGGTTGGAGAGAAAACAGTATTGGCTTCAGAACAAGAATGATACCCTCCATCTCACTTATCTCTTTAGAGTCTGCCTTGCAGGCTGTAAGAGTATTCAGTGATGGGCTGGAGATTTAGCTCAGTGGTTTCGCTGCCTGCCCCACAAGCGGAAGGACCCGAGTTTGATCCCCGGTACCAAAAAAAAAAAAAAAAAAGAGTATTCAGTGAGCTGCTTAGGTGGGACATTTCTAAGAGCCTATAATTGGCTTTGTGTTCACCAACAGTGTATGAGTTAGGCCCACACTTCATTGCCCTGTCTTTAGGTTGCCTAACTCTGGCTGGGAAAATCTTTGTTTCTGTGCTATTGATTTAGTGCTCACTTCAGCACATATACTAAAATCTGTAGTACTGATTTAGTGAACCAAGCCTTGAGTCTACCTTCTTTGTTCCTCCTCTCGACTCCCAACTCCTCTTATGGTGGCCCTGGATACTGAGATGTTCTGAAAGAGTGAAAAAGGTGACTATTGTGATGTCCCTCTGTTATGAAAGGATGCTTGTCCTCAATATTGAACCCTGGTTAGTGTAAGGAGTAAAGAGTCAGTATTATTTTTATCTCTCTGTAGTTTTAAAAGTGATTCTTTCACCCAAATTTTTATGTTTTCCAGAAGAAGAATCTGAATATCCTAAAAAGGAAGTGTCATGTGGAAGGTCACACACCCAGTCAGTCTCCTTGACGGGACTGGAATGCAAATCTCATGACTCTTACCTTGATTTCCATTATCATCATTTGTTTTTCTTTTTTTAAAAAATTGACATATGATTACATACAGTAAAATAGACAGTCATTAATGTACTATTAAATGAGTCTTGGGCTGGGGATTTAGCTCAGTGGTTCTGGTGCCTGCCTCACAAGCGCAAGGTCCCAAGTTTGATCCCCGGTACCAAAAAAAAATAAAAAATAAAAAAATAAAATTAAAAATGAGTCTTAACAAAAGCATATACTCACATAACATGCCCTCAAATCAAGATGTTGAACATTTCCATCTCCCTAGAAAGTCTTCTCATGCATTTTTCTAATCAGTTCCTCTTCTGATCCAGGGATAACCACTGTTTTCATTTTTATTCCCACAGATTAGTTCCCCCCCGCCCTGTTTTTTTTTTGTTGTTTTTTTTTTGAGACAGTGTTTTGCTATGTAGCTCAGGCTGGCCTTGATTGAACTCACTATGTAGTCTAGGCTGGCCTCGAACTCGGTGGTGATAATCTCAGAAAGGCTGTTTTCTCTGCTGTTCACCACTCCAGCATCTTCCTGAAAGTCCAAAATTTAGAATGAAATTCTTTGATTTGGCTATGATTGATCTCTTGTTAAAAGCTTCCTTATGACTTTTCATCTATAACTGCCTCCTAGCCCCAGAATTATTTTTTAATATCATAGGCACAGAACCCTAACGTAAAATGCCTGTATATTGGTGTAGAAGGAGATTTTTTGGTTTGTGTTTATTTGTATGTTTTTCTAAATCACCTCATTGATAAATGCAAAGTCTTTAGAACCACGAAAGAGAGTCTAAGGAAATTGTATCCATATGAATTAGTACTCCTCACATGTAGCTACCCTTATTCACTAATAGTTGGTATTATATGATAGTGGTTAAGAATGATGTATTACATGAAATTACAAAGAACACTGTGGGATTGCATAGGTTTATAAAGAAGAAAACAGTTTTGTGCCACAAATTGAAAATAAGTATCAAGTATAGCCAAAAAGTGTTTTAAGTAATTTCCTTTCAGATTGGGAGAATCATTTTAACATTTATTTCTCCAGGGAGAAAAGTCTTCATTAACTTAGTAGTTTAATAAGAGGCTTTTATTTTTAATTTTATGCATTTACTTCTTTAGTGTTTGGTGCCTTGAAATATAAAGTTAAAATCAAACAATTTGATGTAAACTGCAAAGAATCCCAGTGATATATAATTAATAATACTTTTATTAGAGATCTGATAATACCAAAGAAACAGTTTTTAATTGATGGAAGTAGAGGTCTTATAATTTCGTTTAACTATCAAGGATCAGGCCGAAGAGCCTCTGGAAAGCCATTGTGGTGTCCAGTCTGACGGGGTTCCCTCCCCCATCTTGAGGTAAGACTGTACCTGGACTGCTCTGGCCAAATGCACGGTTTCAAGAATTTACAGAAATGATTACCTAGCTTGATTTGGGACAATACCTCCCTTGCCAAATGTGGCCTTCCTTATACTGTATAGAGTCCTATGTAACTACAGCATGTAGAATAGGGCAGTTCTACTCTTAAGACAGCGCTGAGACCATGCAGATGGGAGTGAAGAGCACATGTCAGAAGTGGCGATGCTCATAGTTTGGGGGGAAAAGACACTGAGATGGGCTTTTGTGTGGAACAGAAGTTCTCCATTTGCTCTGTTCCCATTTCCACTGTGCTCTCATATCTTGGTATTGAAAGCTTTTTGACCAAAATTGAACCATAAGTATATTCCTTCCTTTTACCTTAATAAAAATCTGAATGAGTAACAAGCATATACAGACATGAATTTCCAATGAAAAGACACATGATGTTTTTAGTTGAGATATAAATTACCACAGAGTCAGATACAAAAATCCTAAAATATACAGATCAGTGAGTATTGAAAAATGTATACAACTAAGTAACCAATATGAAAGTCAAGCTGTCAGATATTTTGGGTTGTGGGTATAGCTCAGTAGTAGAGCATGTGCAAGGTCCTGGGTTTGATTTCTAGCACACCCCTCTGCCTTCACATAGAATACTTCCTTCACCTCCAGAAAGCACCCTAGAAAAGCCCTTTGTCCCTCTTTTCAGTCAAAGCCCTTACTCAGTGGCAATTACTCTTCTGGTTTTTTACCACAGGTTAGTTTTGTCTATACTTAACCAGCTGAGTCTTTGAGAAAAGTCAGTTTCTAAAAAGTATTACAAACATATAGTTTACTATATTAAAATCATGTTGAATAAAATGTGGAAAATTTGTCTATATTTTTCAGGAGAAAACTGGTTATAGATGCATATATATGTCAGTCATTTGAAATCTTTAAAAAGTCACAGAATATTCTATAGAAAATTTGTCTTTATGTCAGTTGATGGCTTGCGTCACATAAATGCACAAACAAAGCTTGTAGCTCTTTCTGGCATTTTCTCCACTTGCAGACATTGGAGCATGTGGAGCCCCTTCGTCCCTATGAATCCTTTGACACCCGGAGACAGTTTTTGGAGTACAATGGGAAAGTTTTGCGTTTCTTCTGCTTGTGGGATGATTCAGGCTCATTGTTTGGGGAACGTAGAGAACTCGTCCTGCATTATTTCTTGTCTGATGATACTGTTGAAATCAAAGAAATATTGCCAGAGAACTCAGGCCGGGATGCTAAGTTGTTCTTCCTCCGGAGGAGTAAACTACCCAAGGTAAACAGCAGAGATAGAATCACTTCCTGTGTTTGTTTGTGGGCCAAGGGATTGGAGTCATTATTTGGAATGTTGCATGTTATGATTATGTAAACACAGTTACTATATTACAAATCTGTAGAAAACTTTCATTTTGTTTTAACATATGAGGTGTGGTCAAAATATACAGTGTATGCAAATAAC